ACCGAACCTGGTTCGAAAGCATATCGATTACTTGATCCCTCAAGTAAAAGGATCATAGTAAGTCGAGATGTAAAGTTTGATGAGAGCGAAGAATGGGACTGGAAGAAAGTAGAATCAGAAAATCTAGGGAACTCTGCGACTTTTACTGTTAATATCGGAGAGTTTGGGAATAGAGGAGTCAGATTACTCGAACAAGCAGCTATAGGTGAAGACGTTAGTGATGATACCCTAGATGTTAACGAACCTGATGAAGAAGAAGAAGAGTACGAGACAGCCGAGACCGAAGAAGCTGATAACGATGACAGCGAGCAACCAATGTTAAGAAGGTCCACGAGAACTAGGTCAGAGCCGGAATATCTAGCTGACTATGTCACGCGTGATGAAGATTTCGATCGTCTCCTGCTGTTAATAAATGAAGAGCCATGGGATTTTAATGAAGCTAGAGCATCTGAGGTTTGGGTAGAAGCATATAAAGATGAAATCTCGTCAATAGAGAGGAACAAAACCTGGAACCTCGTCGACTTACCTTCAGGTGTTAAGCCAATTGGCTTGAAGTGGATATTTAAGATAAAATGGAATTCAGACGGGAGCATTAACAAACATAAAGCTCGCTTGGTCGCAAAAGGTTACGTTCAAAAGCATGGCATCGATTACGATGAAGTCTTTGCACCTGTAGCTCGTATGGAAACAATCAGGTTCATCATCAGTCATTCAGCTTCATACGGTTGGGAAATACATCATTTAGATGTTAAGACGGCGTTTCTGCATGGGGAACTGAAGGAGGAAGTATACGTTAGCCAACCAGAAGGGTTTGTGATCGAAGGAAGCGAAAGCAAGGTTTATAAACTGAAAAAAGCTCTCTATGGCTTAAAACAAGCGCCTAGAGCATGGAACGCCAAGCTGAATATGACTCTCCGAGAGATGAGATTTCAAAGGTGTTCCAAGGAACCATCTTTGTATCGGAAAAGAGAGAAGGAAGAACTTCTTGTCGTTGTCGTGTATGTAGACGACTTACTTGTCACTGGCTCATCTTTGAAGTCAATACTTGAGTTCAAGAAGAAGATGGCGACCAAATTTGAAATGAGTGATCTTGGATTACTTACATACTACCTTGGGATTGAAGTAAGACAACTTGAGTTTGGTATCATTCTAAAACAAGAGAGATATGCTCAAAAGATATTGGAAGAAACTAGAATGGAAGGGTGCAACCCTACTCATGTACCGATGGATATGAATATGAAGCTATCCAAGTCACAAGAGGAGAAAGGTATTGAAGGAGGAGAATATCGTAGAAGCATAGGGTGTCTTCGATACTTGCTACACACCCGTCCTGATCTAGCCTATAGCGTTGGAGTCTTAAGCAAGTACATGCAGGAGCCGAAGGAATCACATGGTGCAAGCTTGAAACAAGTCCTTAGGTATCTGCGTGGTACATGCTCTTTTGGCCTCTTCTTCAAACGCACCAATAAGGTACATCTTTTGGGTTATAGTGATAGCTCTTACAATGTTGATGTTGATGATGGAAAAAGCACTACGGGACATATATTTTACCTCAAAGAATCACCAATCACTTGGTGTTCACAAAAGCAAGAAACTGTAGCATTGTCATCGTGTGAAGCTGAGTTTATGGCTGCTACAGAAACTGCCAAGCAAGCAATCTGGCTTCAGGAGCTTCTTGCTGAGGTAACCGGAAAGGAGTGTGAGAAAGTGACTATTCGAATCGACAACAAATCAGCAATTGCACTTACGAAGAACCATGTGTTTCATGGTCGTAGCAAACACATACACACTAGATACCATTTCATCCAAGAATGTGTCGAGAATGAACAGGTAAATGTTGAGCATGTTCCAGGTAGCGAGCAGAAGGCAGACATTCTGACCAAGGCTCTTGGAAGAGTTAAGTTCAAGGAGATGAGAAGCTTGATTGGAGTTCAAGATATGAATGAAGAAGTTTCAAGCTTAAGGGGGAGAATGTTGTTGTAAGCTTGAAATAGCTCGATGACTGAGTTAAGTATATTTAGGAGAATCTAAATATACATACGTGTTATGTGAATTTTCCTTTTTGTTTTAGAGTTATCATAATAGGGTTTTGGAGTTATGTTTCCCTATATAAGGAAGTGCTAGCTTGTGGCACAACTTATGGTTTTTGGGACTTAAAGTTTTGAGTTATTTCCCTTAAGATTAATAAGAGAGCTATTCTTGTTAAACCCTAGTGTTCTATCGTTAAGTTTCCACAAAGAGTACGTCTTAAAATATTTACCAAGTAACTACACAGAGAAATTTACCGGTAAGGACAAGAGTTTTTCAGGAAATGAGAGATCCGATCATGAAAGAAACCGGTTGAGCCGATCATAATCATGAGTTGGTTCATTGTTATGAGTCAACCTCGTAGATTCTTGGGAGATATCTCAGCAATGTATACAAGCACCTGTTTTTGTTGATTTATTTACTTTTGAGACTGAGAGCGTTCTTATAAACATTAGTTCATAAATATTAACATAACTTGCAAAGAAAGGGAGTAAAATTACAATTAGGCCGATATCTTGACTGCTAGATTAAGATAATTTATTTGAAGGGGTATAAGAATATCAATTTTTATGTTCAATAAATGGATATAATAGACTGAAATCGAGCCTAATCTCAGAATACGTAGTTTTGATGTTGCAAATATTTAGAAAGTAGGTCTGTGTATGACCCAATTTATAATACCTTGGAGGAGAAGACAGCGAGCCAGCCAGTAAAGCAAGCTGACGTTCTCATAGCCTGAGATGAGTTTCCACATGGTATGAGCATTGAAATAGTTGAAATTTTAATTTGAGGCATTAAAGTTTGGGATTGAGTAAGATATATACCCCTTTTCGGCCGGTCAAATTTGAAACTTTCCCACTCATAAAAGCACCAAGCAGCACGGATTGTTAATATAGACCCAAACATGGAGAACTGCGTTTTTGCATACACAGAAAACAAAAGGTTGATCTTATATTGTAATAAAAATCAATTATTGAGGGTGCCTTTAAGAAACTGGAGCTTTGTCGTCTTCAGTGATGGATTCCTTCGTTCGATTTTGGTTATGTCTGATCATAGCAAACATGAGAATAACAATACTCCCTCCGGTTTTCTTTATAAGATGTTTTAGAAAATTTTTTTGTTCATAATTAGATGATATTTTCAGAAATCAATATAAAAAGTAATTGTTTTATTCTATATATTATTTTTCTATTGGTTGAATTATTTTGAAAAAAGAGAAAATTAAATAACTTCTTAATCTCTGTGCAAAACCTTAAACATGATATATATAAAAACGGAGGGAGTAGATCATAAAAATGTTATAGATCGTAAAAGTGCTATGTCTTTAAATTACTTTTTTTTTGTAGTGAATGAGATAACTTCTATATCTCTTTCGTCGGGCTCAAGCAAATACGACCTGAAGTTGAGATGACTTTTAATAAACCAAAAGATAGTATGTAATCTGATCTAAATCTGCTCTTGCTTTGAAGATAGAACTTAAGAAGGGTAAGAGGATCGCAAACCTTCATTATCTTTTGGCGCGGTGGTTCTTCACCCGAAGTACAAATTCATGTTGGGGATGAGAAGCTAAAGAGTTTCATTGAAGAGGGGAAGGTTTGGGGGCTGTAGGCGTTTTTGCAGAAAAGAGAAAATCAGAAACTGAAACATTGTATAGAAAACATGAGTTTCCGATTAAAGGCCGCAGCAGTTGCGGTTGCAGAGATGCAGGAATTTACGGAAGCGGGCAGCTGTAGTTAACCGCGTTAACCAGAAGTTTGTACGACTGGTATAATAGTTAAGAATGAGTATATCTGCGGTACATTTTTGACTAGTTGACCAGCGGATATAAAAGCGATTATACAACAAAATAACAATATAAATAGACTATATAATTAAAAATAACAAAATATATTATTATTAAAAAAATATATAAATTCATTATAATAAATACTAAAAATAATAAGAATATGACATGCATATTAATAAGGTTTATTTCTTATTTTTGTAGTTTAAATGAAATTATAATTTTTTAAATATTGAAATATAGTTATTAGATATATATAATTATTAGTGGTAAAAAGATAATTTATCTAAATCTTTTTGTTTAAAGATCTTTTAAATATAAAATCATGATTAATAGTTAATGATTATCAATTTTAAACTATAAAATACCTAACTAATATTACTTCAAAAAGTATCAAATTTATTTTTATATTTTGTAATTATAATATTTAAAACTTATTTTATTTTTATAAATAAATTTTATATATTTTAATTTTAAATATTTTATGTATTTTTTTAGTTTTATATTTTTTAATTCTCCAACCGCAAATACTAATGGGAATGAACTTTTGATTTTAAAGAAAAAAATGGTACAAAAAGGTTGAAAACGTTTAAAAGCATTTTTTGTGATTGTTGTTAAACAGTACCAATCACTACTGTTCATAAACGACTACTAACCGCTATCACCTGCAAACGCTGCAGCTTTTATGGATGGTGACGTAGAACCTACAAAGTTTTTTATGATGTGGTAAAATTTGATATGGCCAAATCTGATTGATGGATTATTTTTGGGATTATTTCTGCTGATGTGGAGGTTCTATTAGATGTGGAGGTTCTGAGAGGTCAAGAAATATTCCCCTTTATATAAAAGGAGATTTTAGGGTTTAAAATATAGACGGCCAAAACGAAGCTTTTTGTAGCCGATAACTTCAGTGAAGAAATTTTGCGATTTCCATATCTTCTGATAAACACCACCTCCCCTTCTTTTTTTTTTAATTTTGCTGTTCTTCGGGAGTGTCTGATTCTTGTTTACTGAGCAGGAATTGAGCCTTCTCATTACCTTGATTTCCTAAGGTTTCTTCTCATTAGTAATTTGTTTGGCTTTTAAGTGTCTTATGGTATTTTTCTTTTTGTATTTCAGGGTCGAAAAAAAAGAAGGGAAAAGCTGATTTAGGTCGACGGTAACAATCTTTTGATTTTTTTGTAAAGATATGGACATAATCAATAGATTACCCGATGAATTGCTGCTTAAGATATTAACGTTTCTTCCAACAAAAACTGCTGTCTCCACTAGCATCTTGTCTAAACAATGGGAGTTTCTTTGGATGTGGTTGCCAAATCTTGAGTATGATGAATTAGATGTAAAATCTTCGGTCATTATTAGGTTTCGCGATTTCATTGACAAGAATTTGCCCTTACATAGAGCTCCTATCATACAAACCTTGATCCTCAGTTTTCAACTTAGTGACTTATCTCAACCTGAGAATATCAAACGATGGGTTGGAACTGCGGTTTCTCGCTGTGTGCGTGAGCTAAGCATCTATCTTTTTTGTTTCGATCACAAACAACCAGCTGATGTATCATTGCCGAGTGGTTTGTATACATGCAACTCGCTCACGGCTTTGACACTTTATGGCAAGGAGATTCTTGTGGATGTTCCTCCAACGGCTTATCTGCCTTCCTTGAAAACCTTGCTACTTGAATGTGTGACATACTTAAATGAAGATTCTCTTCGACTGCTTCTATCATGTTGCCCTGTTCTTGAAGATTTGTCTATAGAAGGACGTAGCGGCGAGAATGTGGGAAAGATAGTTGTTAATATCCCGTCTTTGCAGCGTTTATCCTTGAATGTGTATGGTCCAGCTTCTGATGGGTATGTGATAGTTACCCCTTCTTTGAAGTATTTCAAATTTGACGATTGCGAAGAAGGTTTCTCCTATCTGGCTGAGCATATGCCAATGCTCAAAGAGGCATATATTAGTGTTGTGCACGATACTGAGAAGCTTCTCGAATCAATCGCATCCGTCAAACTCCTTACCTTACGTCCATATATCACCAGTTCAGCAAAGGTAACATGTTTCATCTATCAACTTTAAGTCTTCGATCGCATTATATCAATCAGAACACTAAATTGGGTTATTACATTGTCGTGTGTGCAGTTTGTGTATCCTGCTGGTATGGTTTTCAATCAGCTTGAACATTTGAAGGTACATATACACAGCGTGAATTGGTCGAAGTTACTTGTCTGGTTGCTCAGAAATTCTCCTAAGCTACGAATCCTTAATGTATATTGTGATGATGTAAGTTTCTTCATTTTCTGTTTCCAGCTAAAAGCATTGTATGATGTGATCTTGGCTCTATATCTTTCTCTCTTCTTTTTTCTTTTTATCACAGTTTCATTCAGAGCTTGATGTGTATGAACCGGTTAAGTGGGATAATGAACAGAGCTCAGTTCCTGAATGTTTGTTGAGGAGTCTCGAAACTTTGAAGTTTGCAGGGTACAGGGGAAGAGAAGAAGAGAGAGATTTCTTGAGTTTCTTATTCAAACACGCTTGTTGCTTAAAGTCTACATCAGTCATTCTTCATGTTTCATGATTTTGTCGCATTCGATTTTGAATTTTAGGTCTGTTTTGTTGTCCAAGAACAAATTAGGTAATTCAACCTGATATGGAACTTGATTTCAAACGAAACTTGCACCTTCTTGTCATGTGGTTTTAGTTCTACCTTGTACTAGCTACTCAAGTCTCTTATGAAAGAAGACAACCAACTCCGTTTTCGAACATACATCACTAGAACTAAGTGTTGGTTTCATAGTGTGATATGCATCATGCGAATTTTATAGAAATATGTTTCATTAGACATTTATATTGTTTTCAAAGAAAATTATAATTCTACACAAATATTATTTTAATGAGAAAAAATTGACGTACGAAAAATATCTAATTAACTATTTGCTGGATAACATGGATCAAAATGTTGTATATTTTAGTACTGTACTTTCAAAAGTTTAAAATTGTATTTTTCAATAACGAGTTCAAAATTGATGACTCGATTTAAGTTTTTGGAGAAAAAAAGAGAGATAGAAAGAGAAATACGTGAATCCTCAATATATTCTCTTAAGAAGGACCAAATGATTTAGTGAACTGTAGTAGTGATGACAAAGCATGACTAAGATTTTATTCTTTCAAAAAGATTTGGTACTGCAATATTGATTCGAAACTGGAAGAAGGAAACCTTCTAGTATGTAATCGAAGACATACCAAAAACCGAGCACTCTGCATCATAGGATAATTTTTGAAATGATTTATTTGGCAATTTTATTACTAAACATGACTATTCCTAAAATAACTTATAAGAGAGGTTCACTAATGTACTTTCAATCTGATGTGGTCTGGCAGTAGTTTGCATTTCGTCTGCCATTAATAGGGATGGACAGATTTTGTGAATCTGAAATTCCAAACCGAAACTGACCTGAAAAACCCAGTTCGGATCGGGTTCAGTACTATAGAAATAATCAAACACATTTTTATGTATATTTACTATTCACCGAGAATACATTCACCCTTTTAACTATTTTTCTTCCATTTTTATTCTATTTACTATTTTAATTGATTTATTAAATAATATTTTTGAATGTGATTTTTTTTTAATCTATGTACTGTTAGCTAGAACACCAATTAAAACGAGTTCAACTATTTATACTTCTGTTTTGAAATAAAATCAACAAATGAAAGTCGATCAATCTTTCAATACTAAATACCTTTGAAATCGACGAGTCTTGGATATACTAAAATCTAATTGATATTGCATTTTATTATGTCAAGATATATTTTAGATCAAATTTTTGTAGCAAAAGTATATTCGTCTTTGTAAATGCTACAAAATAACATAAAGTTAGTTAAACCATAATTTTATATTTGTTTTTATAGTTCTTTTTATAAGAATCTGTATTTGTCTAATTTTTTTAAAAAATTGTCTGATCAAATATTTGTAATTTAATATACCAAAAAGTCACCTAGAAGTGTAAAAAAAACAATCAAATTCTATTTTTTTTTTAATTTTTGTCGTGAATCAAATTCTATTTAATAAACATAATATTGACATGAAAATATACAATAATACTTTAATTCTTCAAAGAAAATAACCTTTGTCATCATCTTTAGCTCAATTCTTGTTATGTATTGGTTGTTTCAAATCATATCTGAATATTGCTGCCTTCAAATAGTTTTAATTTTTATATATAATAGGTATAATATATTTTTTTAAACAATTAATCTAAGTATTTATACTTCTGTTTTGAAACAAAATCAACAAATAAAAGTCGGTCAATCTTTCAATACTAAATTTCTTTGAAATACACGAGTTTTGGAGATACCAAATCTAACTGAGATTGAATTTTATCATGTCAAGATATAGTTTAGATCAAATTTTTTGTAGCAAAAGTATATTCATCTTTATAAATGCTACAAAAATAGCTTTTTTGGGGTTAAATATCAACAAATCTTCAGACAAATTACAAAAATGACATAAAGTTGGTCAAACCATAATTTTTTTATTTGTTTTTATAGTTCTTTTTATAAGAATCTCTATACAGTAAAACCTCTATAAATTAATAATGTTGGCACCTTAAAGGTTTATAAAAAATTATTAATTTATAATGATTATTAATTTATAGATAAATTATTTAATTGATAAATAAATTTTAGGACTGACAAAAAAATATTAATTTATTGAGATCGAGTATTAGTATATACAGGTTATACTGTATGTCTAATTATTGACAAAACAAAAAAAATACTGTAGGTCTAATTTTAAAAATGTTTTGTCTTATCAAACACTTGTAATTTAATATACAAAAGCCACCTAAAACTGTAAAAAAATTAATCAAATTCTATCTAATAAACATAATATTAACATGAAAATATACAATAATACTTTAATTATTCTAACCAAAGAAAATAATTTTTGTTATCATCTTTAGCTCCATTCTTGTTATGTATTGGTTGTTTCAAATCATATCTGAATATTGTTACCTTATAGTTTTTTTTTTTTTAAGTAATAGGTATAATATGTTTTTTAAACAATTAATCTTTGTAAAAAATTATAACAAACAATGGAATAAAATTATTATATTATAATAAATAAAGTGTTCTTTAAACACGAGTTTATTTATATTATATATAAAACAATATTTTATTATTAACTTTAGATGGTTTTATATAATTGAAAGTGTTATTTTTAATTAATAGATTTTTCTAATCTTATATTAATTTGATTTTTTTTAATAAATTCTTCATGATTTGCTTATCTTTATATATTTTATTAGTTAGTATAATATTAGAATTTGGAAATTTTTTTAATAAGTTAAAAAAGAAAATAATCAACTTAAAAAATATAATTAATTACAGAAAATGATATGGAATAATGAAATGATTTTTTATATAATTTATGTGATTTTTTATAATCCAATAATATGTTAGTTTTATTTTTATTGTTAATAGGAAAATAAGTCATAATTTTTCATATTTTTTAAACTTGTTTTTATTAACAATTATCTAAAATTTTAAAAACTTTCCTGATAACAATAAAACATAAATAATTAAAATTCAGAAACTTTACTATTAACAATAAAAATTAAATTAATTAATTTTAATATATATATATATATATTTAATTATTGATGATGATGTGTACCAATAGAATTAAATCTTTTAAATCCTATGCGGACACTCTTAGAGGTATATAACATCAAATTTTATTAGTAATAGATAGATATATGATTTCAGGCATAGGGTACAAAATACATGATGGTGTTTATTAAATACTAATTTATCACTTTGCAGATATATTATCCTGAAAACTGCAGTTTACGGGTTTTCATGGCAAGTTAACTTTCACTCTAAAGTTGCAATCAAGAATTAAACGACTCAAATGTTGGTATGAGACAAAAATATGGTATAAAGATCATCGTGTTAAAAGACTAATTACTGTTTATCTTTCTTTGTTTTTAATTATGATTACAAGTAAATATTATTGGTGGAATCAACAGGTATTATGGACATTCTTGATGTCATTGAGCAAATTTATTTTTAGAAATATAAATTGGAATCAAAATTTGCTACTTTGATCTATACCCTTATTAAAAAAACACAAAGTTTCTTCGCAGATTTTTTAATCTATTTCCTAGTTTTGGGAAAACAACTCTACTAATTACATATAAGATATTGTCAGTATCACGTTAGGTAGATGAACAAATTTTTATTAAATCCATTTTCAGTATACTGCGAAATGAAAATTTCATGTACCGATGCATTAGATTGCACATTACAAAATACATGATGGTGTTTATTGAATACTTAAAACATATCAATTTACAGATAAATTATCCTGAAAACTGCAGTTTACGGGTTTTCATGGCATATTAACTTTCACTCTAAAGTTACAAGCAAGAATTAAACGACTCAAACATTGGTACGTGATAAAAATATGGTATAAAGATCATCATGTTAAAAGACTAGTTACATCTTTCTTTGTTTTTAATTATGATTACAAGTAAATATTATTGGTGGAATCAACAAGTAAATATAAACTGGAATCTAAATTTGCTACTTTGATCTATCCCATTATTAAAAAAACACGAAGTTTTTTTGTAGATTTGTTAATCTATTTCCTAATTTTGGGAAAACGGCTCTACTAATTACATATAAGATATTGTCAGTATCACATTAGGTAGATGAACAAATTTTTATTAAATCCATTTTCAGTATATTGCGAAATGAAAATTTCATGTACTGATGCATTAGATTGCACATTACAAAATACATGATGTTGTTTATTGAATGCTTAAAACATATCAATTTACAAATAAATTATCCTGAAAACTGCAGTTTACGGGTTTTCATGGCATGTTAACTTTCACTCTAAAGTTGCAAGCAAGAATTAAATGACTCAAACGTTGGTACATGACAAAAATGGTATAAAGATCATCGTGTTAAAAGACTAATTACATCTTTCTTTGTTTTTAATTATGATTACAAGTAAATATTATTGGTGGAATCAACAAGTACTATGAACATTCTTGATGTCAATAAGTAAATTTATTTTTAAAAATATAAACTGGAATCCAAATTCGCTACTTTGATCTATCCCATTATTAAAAGAACACGAAGTTTCTTCGCAGATTTGTTAATCTATTTCCTAATTTTGGGAAAACAACTATACTAATTACATATAAGATATTGTCACTATCACGTTAGGTAGATGAACAAATTTTTATTAAATCCATTTTCATTATATTGCGAAATAAAAATTTCATGTACCGATGCATTAGATTGCACATTACATTCACATGGAGAGAGAGCGAGATTGTAATTTTCAATTTTACCTAAACACTTGACAGTTCACTAAATCAAGATTTTGATGAAGGAAAACATCTTTAATCCCAGAGACAGATCGATTTACAGCATATAACTATTTAGAGAGTGTTTCCGGTGTTTTTTTGATAGCTTGCTATTTTAGAACATTTTAGGCTATATTTCATGCATCTTTTCCTTTGTTTTTGCATTCTAGTCTCATTTGCACTTAGAATCAACATT